GCCGTTTTATGTTTTTCTTCTTCTTTAATTGGTATTTGCCAAAATCCGCTCTTCATATCTAATTTTGAGAAGAATTTGTAACCACCACCTAATCATCGTATTGTTTGTTCCATATTAGGTAATGGATGATTATCTTTAATTGTCATATTATTTAATTTTTTGTAATCGACTACCATTCGCCATGATCCATCATGTTTAGCCACTAATAATGCTGGTGCTGCGAATGGAGAATAAGATTTACGAATTAAACCATAATATAATAATTCTTGAACGATCTTGTACATCTCTTCTTCTTTGTGAGGCGTTGAATAGTATGGTCTAGATGATGGTGGAGGATGATCAAGTGTTTTAATTTCATGCGGTTTCACATTAATAGCTATTGCAGGTTTACTTGTATCGAAGAGTTTTTCATGTTGATGAAGGATTGTCTCAATTTCTTCTCTTTGTGTTGAATCTGTAATATGTCGAGTTAATTTATTGATGTTATCATTAACTAATTGATGATCAATAGATGTACATTTACTAAAAGATAATGTAGGAACAGTTGTTGTACCTATTATGAGGCCTTTAGGTACTGTATAATAATATGGTGTTGGATTGTAAATTGAAATATGTGATTTCTGTTGATTAACATTTGCTATATTGTTTAACAAAATCATCGGTGATCGTCGTGCTAATTGATAAGATGGACGAAATAAAACTTTAGCTGATGATATTCCCACGTTAACTGGAATTGAAACTGTTCTTTTCGGTGGAATATAAGTGTAACGAATTGTTCGTGCTGGATAACGAATTTCTTCCTGGTTAACATCAAATTCTAATGTTATACGTTTTTCATCATCACATATTGATACCACACGTGCATCGGCATTAATTATAACTTTATATTTACTAATAAAATCCATTCCTAATATACATTCAGCACATAAATCTTTCACCACATGTGCTTTAATCGTAGTTGACATATCACCTATAATAATATGTAAATCTAAAGTGCCTAAAATAGAAATGGATGTATGTCCATCAGCTAAGAAAGCACTTTTTTGTTTTTTATTAATGAATTGTCGATTATGTGAAGTAGGTAAGGCTTGTAATGAAATAACAGTTCGGTTGGCACCTGTATCAATCATTGCTTTCATATGTTTATTATTTACAAGAACATTAAGGTATAACAATGATGTGTTTAATGTCGATGGATTGATATATAAATTTTCGGAAGCAACACCATCGACCGATGCTTCCCCTATTGAAAATGGGGACGGGTACAATCCCGGGCATAATGGCCAGGAGTACCACAATTGTAACAAGCACCTAGTTTCTGTGTTGATCTTGTAGAATTTGAGAATTTATTTTGTCGATTTGCATTATTTCCAACTGGTATTCCCTGACTAGAATTTGTTCGAGTTCGTGATGCATTTGCATTCCAAGGATTTTTTTGATTAAATTTATTGTTTGATGTTCGTGTGAATGTTGCTCGATCACGTACTTGATTTTGATAACCAGTTGCATTGATGATGGTAATATCATTGTCAGATAATTCATTATTTGTTTTGGTAATTGATAATACATCTTCAATCTTCTTTGCTGATGATAAAAATGCTTCTGTTGTTTGAGGATCGTGTAATGCAACATGTGTCTTCAATGATTCTTTCACTCCAACCATTAAATATTTTAATTTCAAAGAATCAGGCATTACAGGATCGACTTTTTTGCATAATTCAATAATTTTATCATAATATTGTGTAATGGATTGATTAACTGTTTGTTTATACCATTTTAATTGTTCAAATGCTAATTCTTGTACCTTTGTTGATCCAAAAGCTTGTGTAATAGCTGTAATAAATGCTGACCATGTTTTAATTGATGTGGATGTTTGCATCCACCACCTATATGCATCATCCTGTAAATGTATGGAAATATATCGTAATTTTTGTTCGTCATTCCAATTAGCCATTGTAAAACGTTGTTCTAACTTATCTAACCAATCGTGTACATCATCTTGTGAACCACGAAAATATGTTGGTTTCTTAATAATTTCATCCGCCACGGTTCGTTGTAAATGTGATGTAGATGAGTAATCAGGTACTGTGGTCACTAATGTTCCCGTACCCCCTTTTGAACTTGTTGATGATGATATCGTTGATTTGAATTGTTGAAGAAATAACTTGGTGAATGTTTCGAAGTTGAAAATTGCATGGCTGTTGTCAGCATACCATAAATAAGCATCGTCCTCTAATAGTAAAGGTATAGCTTCAATTTGATCATCACGTCGTAAACCACATGCTTTAAATTGATTCATGGTTTGCAATAACCAATTTTTTGCATCACCAACACCTGCATATTTGTCAAATTTTGCATCGATGAGATCTTCTAGTACGACCACTTCGGTATTGTTTAATGTTGAAATATTAATTGGCGGAGCAGTTGTTCGAGTTAATTTATAGTTAGATGAATTTTGTTTTAATTGTTCACGAAATAATGTCCAATCGTCCTTAACTTCATCTTTATTTTGTTCATACCATACTTTTTGTTCTTCATTTAAAAATTTAATTGTATAGTCTATACGCTGTGATGGTGAATAATTTAAATCATCATAAACTTGATTCAATATAGATAACCATTTATCCGCACCAATTCTTTCTTCTTCTGCTAAGATTCGAACATGTCGACGTACTGATTCATTTGGTGTACTTATGTGTTGTGCTTGTGTTGTAAGAACTGGTTGCATCGTTTTTTCGATTGTTTTTGTATCTTCATTTAAATTTGAAGGTGAATCATCATTAGTCATAATTGGAAATTAAATTTCGTCGTTGAACAAGTAGGACAGAATCAACTCCTGAATAAGAAGGATTCCTTCTTTTTGAAACTATAGCCGTCGTTGAATTAAAAGAAAAAAAATTTTTTTTTTCTAAACCGCTGTCACCACTGTTATGTTTGATAGTTAGATGTATAGGCGTGTGTGTGTTCGATGTCTGTTAGAACATAACTGACTAGCTGTTTATTCAACAAAAAAACACGTATGTGTATAATAAAAGAAAAAACAAGGACTAGAACGAAGTGAGAAAGAAATAAACACGAAAATAGATGTCATGACCAACACATATCATAACACTCCCCCTCTCCCCATCCCATTACAGACGCATAACAACGGGGAAGAGAACACTACAGACATACTCCTATTACAAACATCCCCCTTTACACACAGGCCACCATCACAGACCTCAGCAACCGCACACAAAAGGCTTCAGATTCTATACAATTTTCTAACGCATTCATAATTATTCGTAAAAAAACTATTTTTGAGTTTACAGATAATACATTAAGAGAACAACTCGGAAGCACATACGTGAGTTCTACATTTCAGCTTCAAAGGAGCTGTGCTGACAAGCTTACTTCACTTGTTGTCTTTGTATACTTTTCCAGTTATTTTTGAAAAGAAAACTACTATAACTGTTTTTTCATTTTAATAGTTCTTTTCTTCTTCAGGAAATTAAAGAAGATCATAGCAATCTTCATTGGACTTGACGTTGAAAACAATAAAAGTGTCTATAAAAAAATTGGAAATAAGATATTGTCTCTTTATCGGGCACAAAGCCAGATTTGCTTGAAAATTTAAGGGTAAATGATCCAAAAAAGATAAGTTAGTGATCAAATTTTCAGTAGAAAAATGCATGTCCTAGTTAACGTATGACAAAAAAAACATAAGTAAAACAGAAAAAGTGGCACTACAACCGCCAATAAAGTACTGACGCGAGCGGTGCTTATTAGTTGTGAGTATTCATATGTAAGATAGAATTCGTGCTAAAAAAGGATCGCAAGCGTCTGAAACGATTCTTACAGAAACTTGACGAGCTATCGGATGCAGTTACCGAAGTCTACCGAAAGCGGTAGTACCAAGGCACGTCTGTAATGAGTATTGTAGTTAAGTTCGAAGCTGTCACCCTAATAAAGAACATGATCAAACTGA